TATTACGTATTATCGCGTATTACGTAGCCATTTGTAAATTTCTGCGGCAAATTTAGAATTCAGCGCTCGGATATCTCTTACCTAATCTCATTTATCCTCCATAAATCTCTATATTTATGGAGCGCAGTATAATAAGAAAAGAAGCGCAGTAGTAAAAGGATGATTATTTTATGATAAATCAAGATAAAATATGGAGGTACGAAAACGCGCGAAGTTTTATGAGTCGTGCCGTGTGCGTTTAGTGCCGTGGTGCCGTGGCGCAGTGGTGCAGTATATGGGGTTGGATCTGTTTTAGGATCTAGCATTCTTAACGCTGTAAAACCTAGCATGCTCACATTGTCACAAGGTCTATAGTATAGCGTACAATGTATGATCTAGCATGCTTTTAATACTGTAGGATCTAGCATGGTATACACTGTGGTATCTAGCATGTTTTACAATGTAGGATCTAGCATGTTTTACAATGTAGGATCTAGCATGGTATACACTGTGGTATCTAGCATGTTTTACAATGTAGGATCTAGCATGTTTTACAATGTAGGATCTAGCATGGTATACACTGTGGTATCTAGCATGGTATACACTGTGGTATCTAGCATGTTTTACAATGTAGGATCTAGCATGGTATACACTGTGGTATCTAGCATGGTATACACTGTGGTATCTAGCATGTTTTACAATGTAGGATCTAGCATGGTATACACTGTGGTATCTAGCATGGTATACACGGTGGTATCTAGCATGCTTTACAATGTAGGATCTAGCATGTTTTACAATGTAGGATCTAGCATGTTTTACAATGTAGGATCTAGCATGTTTTACAATGTAGGATCTAGCATAATGTACGCTGTATGATCTAGCATGGTATACACTGTTGGACCTAGCATGTTTTAAGCTGTGGGATCTAGCATGCCTTAAGCTGTGAGATGATCTACAGGCCGTGCTGCATTATGAACTGCGCGATACCAACCGCATTTATTGATGTGAGTCGGTCGGCTTGCTTAAATTGCACGGAAAATATTTGCGC